GAGAGAGAGAGAGAGAGAGAGAGAGAGAGAGAGAGAGAGTGAGTTGAGTGAATTTTCTGGTACCTTCTTTTTAACAAAAGAAAATGAGGAAAGGATAGAAAACAGAGTACGAAGGAATCGAATATCTTTACCACAGCCTTCTCATTCTAGGAACTTAACCTTTTGCATAATTACTGTCTTCTTAAATACAAAGCACATTCCGGGTTCAGTGGGAGCTAATCAGAATTGGGTTTTTGTCTGGTGTGAAGCTGTGATCTCCAGCGGAGATGAATAATATGCACGCCAGAGAGAAACTGGTTTGTAAGAGGAAGGCTTAGCTCTAAGGAGTGAGTGCAGACAGGGGTCAGCTGCCCAGCCATCTCTGGTGTCCTATTTCATTGTCCTAATTCTTAGTTCCCTCCTTGGTAAAATGTGGATAGAAACAAACCTTAGGAGGGGTGGGTGTCACACGAGACATGGCAAGTATGCCAAATGTTTCATACAGTGCCCAGCCCAACATGCTTACTGTGTAGGACAAGGGTTGCTGCTGCTGTTACCTGAATTGACCAAGATGTCTGGGGTCTCAGTATCTACTCTGTAGGGAGAACTGTCTGTTATTCGGGGGTCTCAGTATCTACCCTGTAGGGAGAACTGTCTGTTATTCGGGGGTCTCAGTATCTACCCTGTAGAGAGAACTGTCTGTCGTTTGGGAGGTTTCAGTATCTACCTGCAGGTGTCCCAGGAAGGATTTACCTTAAGAAAAGCCTTGGCTTGCTCTTTCTTGGCTTTTTAGGCAAGGGGCTCAGGATTCCCAGGATGATGTGGTCTGTGGTGGTGGGGAGTGGAGCAGTGTGGCTCCCTTTCATTGAGACAGTTCACAATTACGGCCCTGTAGCACCATAGTGAGAGCCTAGAAGCAGGTGCACTGTGGCTCCCCAGCTGCCTCGCTGTGATTGGGGCCCTCCTCTCCTCACTGGCCTCTGCACTTACAGAGGGAAATGAGGGCCTCAGTGGTAAGGCTCACACTGTGTAGAGGGCAGAGGGCAGAGGGCAGAGGGCAGAGGGCAGGGGGCATATTGCATGCTGTTGTAAGGTTTATCTCTTTGTGTTGCTTTGGCAGCTTTGTGGAGGGTGCCGGAGACAGATTAGGCTGCACAGTGATGTGTGACATGTCTCTGTGCACACGTAGCTCCAAATGCGATTTTAGGCAGATAAGCACTACGGGGTTACTTCCTTTGGGGGCAAACACCAAAAAGACAATAGGTTTTTATGGTTTTTTAGATCTGTTGCTCAATCTATTCCCCTTATTGAGTTTATTAGAACAAGACTTTTCACCCCGGTTGATGAAGGGCAGAGTCAGAGCACAGCATGATACATGCTGCATTGAGGGACTGTTGGGCGTAGGATGGGGGATCAGAGTCAATTACTTCAAGTAAAACCACAAGAGGAGCTGTGAGCCTTTGAGGCTCCCCAATGCCAAGGCCTCTGCCATGAGGTCCCCCAGGAAGAGCATGCGCGGTTTTGATTGTCTCTGCTCTGCAGTCTAGGCAGACGGAGGACTTTAGTTCTTGCTATAGGACATGAAGACACCGTGCATTTCCCACTGGCTCCTGGGCATGGCGCTCATCCTCTGCTCCACGCACACCCGCAGCCTCAGGAGATGTCTGAGTTCCGTGGATGTGCACCGTATAGAACAGAGTTTCTGGGACATCAGAAGAGCCCTGGTGAGCACGGGTCTGAAGGAATGGGGTCTGCCTTACCTCACGTCTTAGCCTGAAAGGCATGTGCCTTCCTGTTACTTGTGTGGTATCCTGAGTGGAGACTTCTCATTGATGCCTGTCCTGTTTGTTACAGCAAACTAAAGACACCTTCAAAAATATCACCATCCTGTCCTCACTGAAGAATCTGGACAGCATTAAGGTACCAGTTTGTTTGTGTCTGCTTTTTAAAGACTTAGTGCAAAGAAATAAATCCCTACCCAGTGTGCTATTAATGCTCCAGGCTTCTTTGTCGTCTGAGAAGTCTGGGCATGACAGTATTCCAGGGACTTTGAAATCATGGGCGTGACCAAAGAAGTGACACTTTCCCAGAGGGTGGCAGAAGTACCGGGTACTCCAATGGGACAGGAATTCAGTGGCTTGGAGATTGTTTTGGGAGATTCCATGGGGGGAAATGAAGACACACAAATAAAAACAAAAACCAGAGTCATTTAAAAGCGGAGGAGGTTGTAGATAAGAAGATACAAGGTCTAAGATACAGCACAGAACCGGGTGTGACGCCACTGAGGGCAGGGCTGTGTGACAGGGACAGAGAGCATGCAGGTTTAGGATGCAAAGAATGTGCTTGAGTAGGGTAGGGGGCTGGGGAGGGGTGGCTACCTTTGGAACCAGGCAGAGCCTTGGCTTTCTTTCTGACAGAGACAACAGAGCAGCCGAGGAGACTTCTGGGATGGAAGTTGTATCACTATTCTAGAGAGTCTGGGAGTGTGCTCTACAGTTGGCAGCCGGATGGGAAGGCCAGTAGGGCTTCCAGCTCCCTGTCCAGAAAGGATGTTCCCAGCTGGTAGTTTGCTGCTGAGTCTTTGCTTTACAAAATGAGCCTGTGAGGTGCATTTAGAGTGATCTCTTAGCCAGGTGTGGGGGGGGGGGGGAGGGAGGAGGGCATGCTTATGCTCCCAGCACTTGGGAAGCAGAGGCAGGAGGATCGTTACAAGTTTGATACCAGTCTGTTCAAGTTTGTGAGTTCCAGGCCAGCCAGGGCTACACTGATGCACAAACCCAACTTTCAGTTCAAAGGAATAAGAGATAGTTTATGCCATAGCCAAACAGGAGCGACTACACCCTGGAATCTGGATTGTGCCGAATGGAGTGTTTCCAAGCAGTGCAGCATCATGAAGCTTGTACAGAAATAGGACAAAAGACAGGCATAATCAAGGCATTTAAAACCTATTGGTGGGAGCATAAGGCAGGCAGGTTACAGCAAACTGTGGAGAAACTGCTACAGGCCTCGGATGCTATCTGATGACATTCTTAGCTCTAGGGACACGAGTGGTCTATTAGTATATTCCAGAAAGTGTCTCCTGGTAGTCACAGTAGCTAGGTCAGACATAGAGATGCGTGCCTATCCAAGGAGGTCAAAGACAGCCCGAGATAATTGGACTCTGGATACACACACAGTGTTACAACTCCCCACAACCACAGAGGTTCTATTTAGTCAGTTAGCCTTGGAGAATCTTAATTATACATTAGACGTTTTTTCCCTGCTATTTTCCAGTTCATGGTTATCAAGACCCTGTCTCAAAAAGCAAAGCAAATTGAACAACAACAAAAACAAAATGTTTTGATCTCTGCATTCATTCTAAAAATGATATACATTTTAGTCGTTCCTGAGTTCTTAGATGACAAACTAAAAATATGCATCTATGAGGAATTGACTTCAAAAGGAATGATGAATTAATGGCAAAGCCAGGAATAGGACACCCCCTTCCAGTTTATGCCTCTGTTTCCAGATTCATTCTCCTCCTGAGCTTGAGAAATAGCTGATGTGGAGTAAAGAAGGGAGCTAGTGAATTAGGTCTTTATTATCTATACCTGCCCTTTCTACTCTCTCTTCTCTCCCTCATTCATTCCATTTCTTTTCTCTTTTAAAATTATTTAGTGAGTGTGTGTGTGTTTGGGCGTTAATTCTTTCCTTTCTTCACATGGGGTTTGAAGGTGGAACTCAGGTTCTCAGACTTAGTCAAAAGTTCATCAACTGCTGAACCAACCTTTCTCCCTCCCTCCCTCCCTTCGGCCCTCCCTCCCACCCCCCCCTCTCCTTCTTCCTTTCCTCTTCTCCCTCCCTTTCTCTCTCTCCCTCTCTCTCTCTCNTCCTGGGGCGATCTGCTCTTGGTGTTGCCCTGGTCCCTGTCGCCTGCGTTGTCTGCCACTGTGTCAGTACCCGCCGGTCCCGGCCGCTGCGCCAGCTACGTCGCCCGCCCTAAATGTCACAGTCTTAATAACACAGCGGTGTGTAACCTATTTGTCTGGCTAAGAGATCCAGTTCGGCAGGGGAACAGAAGATCCTGATTCCAATTAGTCTGCCACTGTCTAGGAAAAGCTGCCCTGGGGCTAGAGGCGGGGCGTGAACCTTCTGCCGCATTTCCTCAAGCCCGCAGAGCGCCAACCGCTAGAAGGCAGCTGTCCACTGCCTCTCAGGGCTGTGCATTGCCTTTGAGGCATCTGCTTTCCATTGCAGTCCACTGAGCTCCCCAGATGTGGCTGCAGGTCGCCAGTCTCACAAATTTCAGCTCCTCGCCCTGGCCCAGTTTAAGGGGACAAATTGCGAGAGAGTCCAGTAGTGTGTGGGGTTCAGGGCTTAGTGGTCAGGATGAATATATTGGTCAAGCCTGGTAAGATCCCTGATGTCCAGGAGCAGAGGATGTTGTGAGCTGGGAGATTACAGAGCAAACAGCCTTGGCTTGTGGGATGCGACCCCTCTCATAAAGGAGACACCTGGTTCTTGGAGGGAGCTAATAACTTACATTGTTCCGGAGAGGTTGTGCTGAGAATCCTTGTCTGTGATGGTATTCCAAGCCCTATTCTTTGTGAATACATCTCCTGGCTATAGGTGGCTTGACTGTGGGAAGCATGGAAGAAAACCCTGAATTCTAGAAAAGAATGTTCAGTTCTGTAACTTCTTGTACTTTTTCTCCAAAGTGTTGAGAGCAGAGGGCCTCAGGGCATGCTCTAATTTGTGTCTGTAGCCTGTAGATGTGTGCTGCGTGACCAGGTACCTCCTGACCTTCTACAGAGACAGGGTGTTCAAGCACCATCAGGAGACAAGCCACGAGGTCATGAGGAAAATCAGCAAGATTGCCAACTTGTTCCTCCAAATGCAGAGAACACTGGAGCAATGTGTGAGTCCGTGCGTCCCAGAATCAGTGCGCCTGCGAGTCAGTGCACCCGAGGGTCAGTGCGCCCGCGAGTCAAAGCGCCCGAGAGTCAGTGCGCCCGAATCCCAAGCAGCTGCTTTCATTCTGTCCAGAATGAGCCCAGGACTGGTGCTGTTGGGTATTTCTTGCCCTGTTATTCACTTCTGTGTCCTTCAAGACTTTGCAATGGTTTTGCCTACTGACACCTTGTCAGATATGTCACCTCGTGGAGTGGCCAGTTGATGCCAGGGTGTCTCCTAAGTGTGGAGTGGCCTCTAAGAGGCACGTGCCAAGGGTTTCATTCTGACCATAAGCACACCTCTGGACGTTCTGTTTCTGATCCTTTGAAATTTCCATACTAAGACATTTTGGGGAAGTTGTACAGTAAGGCCTATGTCCAACGGTCACCTGTAAGTTCACTGTCACTTGTTAAAATCAAACAGAGACAGAAGTAAAAATCACCAACCAAAACTCAGGCCAAGAGAAACTGTAGGCTCCATCATAATGGCTGTTGATGGGTTCCTGTGTGGCGTGGCTCCTCTGTGGCAGGCGATGGCTTCCCTCCCTGTATCAGATTCCATTAACTGTTAGAAAGGGTAGCGGTTCCTGTCCTGCTTTAAAGCTTACAGCTGGGCAATCACATGGATATAGTTACTCAAGTAGTTAACCCTGTAGGGTGTTGCACTCAGCACTGTGACAAGGTAGACCTGGTGCTTGCTCTTCTGAGGAGCAGAAGCCAGGGTCAAATGCAGACTTTCTCCACATCTTCTAAGCTTTTCACTTGCCTAGGGAGGAGGAGCGTGTAGGGGGAGGGGCACGTAGGGAGGAGGAACATCTAGGGAGGAGGGGCGTGTAGGGAGGAGGGGCGTGTAGGGGGAGGGGCTCGTAGGGAGGAGGAACATCTAGGGAGGAGGGGCATGTAGGGAGGAGTTGCTATGCAGGGAGGAGGGCTGTGCGAGGAGGAGGGGTGTGCAGCGAGGAGGAGCATCTAGGGAGGAGGGGCGTGTAGGGAGGAGGGCTTGTAACAGTCTTCTAATGAGTGCTGCCTTCTGTCCCGCAGGTTCATAGTCAGTGTGGCTGCAGTCAGGAAGCCACCAATGCAACCAGAATCATCCAAGACAACTACAATCAGGTGAGGGCTGAGGAGAGCCCAGGGAGGACAGAAAATGAGATGCTGGAGAGAGTACAAGGTTTCAGCATTCTCTCCAAGCCAAATCATTTACTCTTCCCTCCAGTCTTCATGGAAGGCCCATCTGAGCTGATGCCTGCAAAAATGTTGTAGGTCACTGGGCAATTCCCGGGTCCTCTCCTCCACCCTTCCTCTTCTGTGTTCTTATACCTGCACATCTGGCCTGGCTTGCTTAAGATATCATACAGGGAGAGCAACGGTCCCCAGTAAATCTGAAACTGTTACCCACGAAACATAACACATACAATGTTCTTGTGGTTAGGACCTGGCCCTTGGCATCCTGCCTATTGCTGCACTTACTTCTCAAGAGGTGTTGATGCAGGAGCCGTTACTAGGGTATGGCATCTACAGATTTGATTGAGGTACAATAGTTCTGGGGTTTGACCGAAGTTCCTCATTCTCAACACTCTCAAATGATGCCAGTGCATTGAAGGGAGAAGAGGTTAGGACTGTCTTGGGGCTCGGCTTTTGGGGGGACAGGCCTTATGAAGCGATGCTGGAGGGAGAGTGAAGATTCAAGTGGTTTGTACTGTGAGCCAGACACTGTTCCAAGACCACTAAGGAGTTGTCACATGACTCTCCGCCTCAAGGCTCCAAGTGAAAACTGATTTGGATAAATCGGGGGAATGAAGGCACAAATGGATTATGTGAATTATACACATGATGCCGTTTTTTAAATCTTATTTTATTTTACTTTGATTTCAGCTGGAGGTCTCGTCTGCTGCCCTAAAGTCTCTAGGAGAGCTAGACATCTTCTTAGCTTGGATTGGCAAGAACCATCAAGAGACTTCTGCAGCTTGACACTAAGTGCCTTGTCTGATTAGAGATACACAACCCACTGTGAGCTCTCTCTCTCTCTCCCGCCCCCCCCAATGGTCAGCAGCTAACTTTGAAGAGAAACAGATGTGGAAAGCTCCCATAATTATCCAAAATGGGGGTCTCTTCTTGGAGATTGCTGATGTGGAAGGGATCCTCTCTTCTGGGCTGGATCCTCCCTGGAAAAGTTGGGGTTCGAGTTGCTCTCAGCTGCTGCTGAGGTCTCAGCTCTCTGATTCCACCTGAAACAGTCGGGTGGGCAGCTATGGTATTTATGGCAGCATGTGGCTGTTGAGCCATCCCGGACGCTGGCACAGCTCCTCTAATTTATTGTGAAGTGGCTTCTCCCAGGCCTGTGCTGTGCACCTCGTGGTGAGCTATAGTGCATATTGTACTGACTGTCATTTATGAATAAACTGGGCTTTACCTATGAGGATGAATTGTCTTCTGACTCATTCATCTATGGACATGAAAAAGACCTCCCCCAAAATGGGGAACATGTGGGGAAGCTTAATTCTAGATGGGGATAAGATGCATGTAGGTTTTTAAAAAAAGTTCGAGTAGACACGTGTTCTGGATGAGTATATGACTACATTTTTCATCGCTGTAACAAAAGGTCTAGGCTGGGTAGCTTTGTCAATAAAAACAAGTTTATTGCTCATAATTCTAGAGGTTCTAGGGAATGGGTTTGACTGGACCCTGGTGAGGACCACACAACAGGAGCTGACACAGTGGAGGGAGCATGGTAGGAAAAGACAGCACATTGAGACTGAAGCTAGAACAAGTAGGAGCCAGGCTTACTCTTCTCTTTTAAATACGCTTTTATTTATTCTTAGAGGATTTCATGTATGTGTGCCAGGGTCTCTGTCACCACCATGGCCAACAGAGTAGTTATCCATAGGAGGCATGTTTGGTTCAACATGATTGAGTAGCTGGTGTTGGTTCAAACTTTGGGGGTCTGATGCCGGGCAGTTTATTTTAGGCATAGTTAAGCGCAACACAATTTGGTTAAAAAAAAATTCCTGTTGATAAATAATTCAATCCTTTGTGCACAAGAAAACTTAAGGCATGACTATGTTGAGACTCTTTGTAAAAAATGTGACATCCTCCATAAAGAAAGACTCTATAGATTGACTGAAAAAGACAAGCTCATGACAAGTGTCTAGGGGAGGATCCTATGTGGTCTCAGTCACATAGAGAGTGCAAAGGTCACCAGGCTACTAACCACATCCATTTCTGGCCTTCTGGGTGGAGAACAAGTTATACAGCTCTCCCCATGGAGAGACAACTCTTTATGTTTTACATTCCTGGTCCTCAGAGGTCTTATCTGTGAGCACAAGGACTTCTGTGCCTCCTACACATGTGTGCAATGTGTTTCCATCAAATTCACCCCCAGTTCCTCCTCTCCCACTGCATCTCACTTATGGTGCCACCGAGTCCAGTCAGCTCTGCCTATACGTTCATGGACGTAGGGCCACCTGCTGGAGCATGGGCAACCTACCCAGGGCTACATGCCTGAAGAAATATGATGCTCACTCTCTCAGCACCTATGATAGTTTGAATGAATACGCTCATAGAGAGTGGCACTATTAGGAGGTATGGCCTTGTTGGAAGAAGTGTGTCAATATGGGTGGGCTTTGAGGTTTCAGAAACTCAAGGCAGGCCCAGTCCCACTCCCTCTTCCTGCTACTGTGGGACAGGATGTAGAACTCTCAGCTCCTTCTCCAGCACCATGTCTGCCTGCGTGCCGCCATGTTTCCTACTATGACAATAATGGACTAAACCCTTTAACCTTTAAGTCAGCCCCAATGACACTTCCTGTTGACTAAACATTCAAATATATAAGCCTATGGGGGCCATTCTCATTCAAACCACCCTCACTGGTCCTTGTAAAAGACTTCATAGTTTATGCTTTTGTAAATAGAATGAGACCTCCAAAGTCAGGCAGATTTGGTTCCAGTCCTGCAGGACTCTGATCAAGGAACTCAATTTCTCTAAACATCTGAGTGTTCTTATGTAAACCAGTTATTGACATCAGTCATAGGATGCTGAGTTGACCAGCAGGTGAGGTAAGGTGAAGCCAGCAGTCCCAATCACTAGAGTAAAGCATTATAACAGTAGTTTTTGTGTGTGTTGGTGGTGGGTGGTTTTGAGAAAGAAACACTGTGTAGCCCTGGCTGTCCTGGAATTCATTTTGCAGACCAGGCTGGCCTCAAACTCACAGAAATCCACCTTCTTCTGCCTTCCAAGTGCCGGAATTAAATGCATGCACCATCAATGCCCAGTGTTAAAAATAATTTTTAAAATAGTGAATTTTTATTTTATGAAGTACAGGATAAGGAGGAAACATGGCAAATGAACATGAGAGATCAGAACACTCAAAGAATTCTCGTACTAGATAACAGTGAATAAAATAACAGCTTATGTTGTTCTTTGCCCTCAAAAAATGTAAAGAAACCTCTCATATTATTACCAACTGTTTAGGTTAATAAGGAAATGCAGGTTAGTAATTAGTCACCTATTACAATCTAACCTGTAGTCACATTAGGTATGTTTTCAAGGTCAAATAGAGATATATTTTAAATAGACAGGTCATCTTCAAACACTTCAGAGATCTACAAAATATGACATTTTAGATGTTTTAATAACAAAGGCTCTTTTTTATGACAATGAGACATGTCTGCTCCTTGCAGCACCAATATACTTCAGAGAAGATAATGGGCATTGAAGAAACTCCACATGGAGTTTACTTTCTTTGTGCCAAAAACAAGACACTGGGCAAGAAATGCCCCTTCCTTGACTGCTGATATTATGCTGCCCTAATGAGACAAGCAGGACACAAAATATCCTGCTTCACAGAAAAGTCTGTCAAATATGCTAGGCCTGAAGGCCGAAGATGGACATCCCAATGTTGCAGAGGAACTTTGGGTGACTGTCCAGGCAGCCAGCTGTTTCTGTCATTTCTCACATCATTTGGAAGTCACTTGCTTCTACTTCCTGCTTACTCAGTTAATATTATTTCCTTCTCAGGTCTCTGAGGGCGTTGAAGACTAGAGAGTTATAGCTATAGCTTTCCTTGTTTACCAGACACAGAAAAAAAGTTATGATAGAAGGTAGATTAGGTACAAGAATTTAGATTCACCAAGATAGGATAGATATGCCACAGTTTTTTTTCTACTATCCAATGTCTTTCTGCAGCTATTGTTATATATATCCTCTAGTATAAATTCAGTGGTTTTAATATGCAAAACAACTCTTTCTACATAGTATGAATTGGTAACTTTGTTGATGGGTACTTTAAAGTCTTTTAGTACCACGAGAATAGCATATAATTCTGACTTGGACAAAATAATAAGGGCTTTGATGTACTTTACTTAAATTTTCTGATTTGTAACCCACCTTTCCTGATTCATTTGTATCAGTACAGAATATATGTGCTCCAGTTATTGGTGTGTCCTGTACAATGTGAGGAAAGATCCAGTTAGTTCTCTCTATAAGTCAAATTCTCTTGCTTTTGGGATAGTTGTTAATCTCTTCCCCCCAAATTGCTACAAGCTTGCAGGAGAATTGACTGTAATCTGTCAATCATGTTATAAATAAACGCTGATTGGCCAGGCAGGAAATATAGGTGGGAAAACCAGATAGGAAGTAGAAATGGTGTAATGAGAACAGGACAATTCGACAGTTCTGGGAAGGAGGAAGTTGATTCCTCCCACTCCTGCCTAGATCACAGAAACAGCAGGATGTGAGCTGCCCCAATGAAAAAGGGTACTGAGCCTCATGGCTAACATAGATTAGAAAAATGGGTTAATCAAGATGTGAGAGTTAGCCAGTGAGAGGCTAGAGCTAAAAGGCTAATCAGCTTTATAACTTATAGAGATCTCAGTGTGATTTTCTTTGGGGCTAAACAGTTGTGGGGTACTGGGCAGGACAAAAACCCCAACAAACAAGCCAGGCCCCTGTTCGTGTTACACAAGCTCTTTGTCAGGGTTCTCTTTCTTCCCATAATTTTTAATTTCATTATTATTAAAAGGTATTCTAATTTCTGATGGCTCTATTCCTGCAAATTGACAAAGTCTCAATTTTCTCCTTAAAATTAACTCAGAGACTTTTTCCACATAAGTTTTTAAGTTTTTAGTCAGCTTATGTGGTAAAAAAAGATCCATTCTAAGATAATAGCTTCCCTCTGCATTAAAATTTCTGTAGGGGAATGTTTGGAGGGTACTAGACCAGAATGCAGTTAAGATTAGGATCCACATGATCCACGTGTGCCTTCTGTAATCTCCCTTCAATCAAAGTCAATTCTCTTTCAGCTTCCACTAATAATTCCCTTGAACTGTTTAAATCCTTGTCACCATCTAAGATTTTGTTTAAATTAATCAGATCATCAAGACCTATCCCAATAGTGTGCTATAGATGGAAAATGTCTCCTAGGAATCTTTGGAAATCATTAAGAGTCTGCAATCAATCTCTCCAAATTTGCATATTTTAGGGTTTAATTTTTTGCAAACCTATTTTGTAGCCTAAATAATTAATAAAATCTCCTCTTTCTATTTTTTTCAGGAGCAATTTGTAATCCACAATAAGGCAAAAATTTTCTTTATTTCTTCAAACATTCTTTCTAAAGTGTCTATATTTGAAACTGATAGTAAAATGTCATCCATGTAATGGTTACTATAGATTCAGGAAATTGCTTATGCATCATTTCCAATGGCTGATTTACAAAATATTGGCACAGGGTGAGGCTATTTAACATTCCCTATGGGAGAACATTCCATTGATATCATTTAGCAGACTGAGAATTATTATAAGTAAGAAATGTGAAAGCAAATTTTTCTGTCTTTTTCTTATATAGGAATAATGAAGAAGCAATCTTTTAAATCAATAACTATGAGAGGCCACCCTTTAGGTAATAGAGAAGGCAAAGGAATGTCAGACTGTAGAGAACCCATTGGCTGAATCACCTTATTAATGGCTCTTAGATCTGCTACCATTCTCCATTTTCTAGATTTTTTTTTAAACAACAAATACAGGAGAATTTCAAGG